ACTAAACTACTCGTGTAGGAAGGCAGGTGGAGGCAGGACCAATCTTGGACAGAGTGGTAAGTCAATTACCTTATTTTTCTATGTTAAGTTGCATACCAATACATTCTGCATTTGAGGTCTCTATTTTAGTTAGTGGCACCTTCGAGTCATAGCATCCTTATAATTCAGTACAAAAGATGGAGTTGATGAACTGGTCAAGAATTAACTAGTACTCCGTATTAGATTAGTAGCGTCCTCATTTTTCAATGTCCACCACAATCGTACTGTGAACTTTGTTGTAGGGCAATACCCTCAAATGCTCGGTTGAAGACATTGAGCGCTTTCGTCCGAGAGTCAGGGACGACGACACGCGTAGCTTCCTAGTCATAAGATTTAAAATATTCTTTGAAATATATTATTAATACATTAAATTCTTTCAGTTAACATTATTTTATACAACAGAGACTGTCACGTCGGCTACGCCGTGTGGCCGCTCATTGTGGTTGCAGGACAACCACGACGCAAGATGTGCACGTTCCTTCCGCAGGCAAAGGAGGCTTAGGTTCGTCTAGTTAAGCACCTACAGGGTCCATAGGCATTGCGTATGAGGACGAGGACGAGGACGACGATGAGGTGGACCAGAGGCATGAGGAGCTTGGCCCGTCTCAGCTCCATGACGCTCCCTCGACTCAGCCTACACAGCCTTCAGGCATTAGGCGACGCCGTCCACCTGACCCTTACACTCCAGGCACCGACACTCTTGGTCACAAGGGTAAGGGTAAGACTAGGAGGCAGTGAGGGTTTGTGGTAGATGTTATTATGTAGTATTATGGACTTTGTGGACTTTCATTATGAAGTATTATGGACTGTATGGACTATTATTATCGAATATGAACTACTATAGACTATAATTATGGACTGTGTGGACTATTAATATGCTCATGTATATGGTTTCAGATGAATGTGGCATATATTTGTATGTTTGTACATGTTGTATTGAGGTTAAATATTCATCTCATATTTGTGTATGGATGGCATAAAAAAGTAGGGAAAATTATGGCGGAATTTTCTGCCTAAAGTACGTATTAATCAGCAACATCAGTTTTTTTGGTTCAAAATAGTGATTGAAGTCTGAAATCGAATAGGCTTTTCAATCATAGAATCTGGGGAAATAGTCTTTACAGTGATTTGTCATGTCACCGTCGAATAGACTTTTCAGTGTCCTTCGAAATAGTGATTGAAGTCTGAAATCGAATGAGCTTTTCAGTCATGGAATCTAGGCTCTCTAGTGTCCTACGTTGTAGGGTTTTAGTGATTCTGAGTAGACTTTTCAGGAACATTTACAGCACAATACAATAGCTAGCAAACCTGCCTCCGCATATATATATGCGTTCTAGGATGCATTGCTAATCAAAAGGAAAACCAAATTAGTATTCGGTTTTGTTGGAGTAGGAATGTTTGAAGGGCCATCTAGAGGAAAGAGTTTCGGGAGTGAAAGAGGAAAGGAGGGGACGAAAGGAACTCCCATTGTGTGGGAGGGGTCTCTTTGGGCCTGATTTCTTTGAAGAACCAGTGTATCAGTTTTTCTCCGAGAGTAAGAGTGATTTCACTAAAGAGTGCCCTCTTAGAGGATACGATAACAGGAAGGGAGATTGGTCAAAATGCATGCATGGTGAGGACTGCTTAGTGTAGATGTTCACCGAGGGGATCGACAGAGGTCATCACTTCTTCAAATGTCCCGCGGGCATGGGTAATTGCTATTACATTTCGTTTGTTAAATATGTTTCTCGAATACCCTTACAACTCATAGGACACTTATTGTAGTCTTCCGAGTGTGAAGAAAACTATGGGTTCACTAGGTGGGTCGATCCTCGACTAATTTATCCGCATCAGCAGTACATCTACTACCTGCAGGACCAAATCTTCGATCTACAAAGGAAAGTTAGCAGCGGGTACAAGAAAAACGAAGACAACGACAACAACAGCGGTGCAAGTTTATAGGAGGCACTCTGTAATGATTCATATTGCACCTGCCCTAATCACAAGAACAAGGGGCCTCCGCCGTTACCCCGCCACCACCACCACCAACAATGGGAGGCTACTGTGGAGAAGGTGCAACACAATTTGCTATGTGGCCACACTACTAGGACGACACTATCTTATTCACATGGCACATCCATGTATGTGTGTGTTTGATTTAATTACCTAAGGCATGTTAGGTTTAGTCGAAAGAACTATTTACCCTTGTTTGGTACATGTTCTCACATGACATTTTTGTGCTTGTTATTCGCTTCAATTACCTAAGGCATGTTAGGTTTAGTTCAGAACCTCTGTAGCCTAGTTCGGTATATGTTCTCACATGCCATTTTATTTATTTTGTGTGTTGAATTATATAATGTCCTACTTCGTTAGGTTTTGTCTGCAGCATGTGATCACATTTCACTACATCTATAATATTAAACTGAATATTATGACCACAAATAATGAAAACAACTACAAGAAGTACGTGCCGACAAACTAAATAACGCAGTACATGAATAAGCCATAGAACTAGCAAGTAATGGAGACTACGGAGTGCAACGAGGTCACTTTCCCTTCCTCGGGGCATCAGGATTCTCCTCCATCGCTGCTTTCGCTCGGCGTACACGCTCAAGCTTCTTCTCCCTCTCACGCAGCAACACGTCACCTTTTCTTTTCTTCCTTGTGCTCCTTTTTTGCTGCCTCCTCTCTGCATCTCTTCTCCATTATCTTCTTGTCCTCTACCTCCCACCACAATAGTTTCTGTCATCAATTCTTTGTCTTTAGGCTTGATCTCAAGTGTCGATCCATTGCTCAAAATCATAGAGCGGTGGAGGGGTCTGTAAAAAATGCAATTGGTACAAAACAAAAAAATCATGCAAGATGTCATATGACACAAACAACAATTCTTCACCATCTTGTTAATGCGACGCTGACGAAATATAGGCTCAAACGTAAAATTGGAACACATCCAATGCCTCTGCCTATACGTGTCCTCTTCATCGGACTTGGATACCTTGCAAGGATCGCAAAAGCATAAAAGCACATGCGAGAGCCAATGGGGAACACCACTACAATTTAGTCATTTTCATTCTAAGCGAAAGCCATTAACATTAAACCCTACATTTTGGTCATCCGATCAATAAACAATGAACCCATAGTCATTTTCTTGATTTCTAAGAACCTTGGCAACGATTTTATAATATAAATATTAAAATTGCATGAAACCCTAAGTCACCGATTAATATATATTCGATGTGAAAAAAAAACTAGGAGGGAGCGAGAATACGAGTCCAAGACCTAGGCACCTAAAATCTATGGCCCGAGGAAGACGTATAATCTTAAAACACCACCTCGGCGCAATAGATCTTGACACCGTTCTCGGCGCCAATAACCACGGCGCCAGGCTTGGCGTCAATAACCTTGGCGCCGAAGCTCAGCGCCTTGAACCGCGCCATCAACGATGACGTTGACCTAAGGGTCTAGATTTTAAAAGTATACTTACATGGGCATATTTATGAAAAATTTTCAAAAAAAAAAAAAGATAAAAAAAAAATCGGTTTGCCCGGTGGGGTTGGCGGTGGCGTCAAGGCCAGCGACGGCTGGACCTGGACGGCGGTGACGATGCCAATGCCAATGCCAATGCCAATGCAAGCCAAACCAAGCCACGACTCAATCCATTCTCTTCCTGACTGGTTCTTTGTGCTGTTGCGATGCCATGTTTTTCTTCTTTTTATTTTAAATGAGATTTGACATCTGAGATCATGTCTTATTTGCAATGTATGTATACGAACGATGTCTGCCAAGTGCCACCTCACTACGTAGCCAGAACACAGCTTACATATAGCGCTCCTTCCTTCAGTAATAATCAGTATGCAGTCAGCTTAAATAGACAGATGACAATATATCTATCTATCACAAGATAAAAAAACGGCACAAGTTGTACCGCTCCTAGGTACTGTACAGGCTGAAAGTTCTGTATGGCATTTACATGATCTTTGATGCTACTAGTAATAATAAGCTTATTTAAGGGCGAAAGTATGAGTTCCGCAGGCATCTTCTTTCTAAATTTAATTTCTCCATGTCCTTTTGAGAGAACGGATTTGTTATTTCACTCCCATTCTAGTATTGCATATACTTTATTGTAAAAATTCCACATGAACACCCACGATTACAATTTTTTTACCTTAAAAACAACAACTGGTTACAATTTATGAACAATGGAATCATAAGAAAATACGTACGCATCCTTTTGCCATGGAATGTTTTTCTTCGCAACAACACCCCAATTTAAAATATCATAGTTAGACCACCTGGACTTGAACTTGTCCAATGAAGACATGCCAGCTTGCAAAATTGAATGAATTCCAATGATATGCACATACCAATTCTTTTGTTTCTTGTACATAATATTTATTGGTCTATTGTAAGAATCTAGAACTTGAATTTCGTTTCTAGCAGGATACAGAACACAAAGCCACCAGTGAGTGTCTGTAGTGTTTATGGGAATGAAGATCTACATTCACACAGAGAGCAACATTTAGGATGTGCTTTAACATATGAAATAATAAATTATGATTTTACTCTTACCATATCAGCTTCTAAAAATTCTTGGCATATACCACATGGTTCACCGTATAATAAGGTAAACCTGTTTTTCTCCAGGCTTTCGCAACAATTTGTTGTAGCCATTGACATATTTCAGCTGCAATTGCATGTTTCTTGTTCTCGGTATCCTTATCCATTCAGAGTTAAGCATACTTACATATGAGCTCATTATCTGCATGCGATAATTTTAAGAAGAAAGGACATATGTTAAAGTACATGAATTACTCAAGTACATAACCATTTTGACTGTCCATCCTCTCTCACAGGTCTAACTAGACAATCCAATTGGCCTGCATTTACATTCAGTCCATCTATACATACTAGATCTTTTTTGGGAGCAACCACAACTTCCTCTTGAACATATGTAATGGCAGCAAGTTCAAATTCACTTAAATTCAGCCCTTCAGTGACCTCATCTGCATAAATGTAAAGATCAAGACATAGAAAACTAATGTAAAGAAGAACCAAAGCATGAAAGCATACCACAGAAGCAGCATTCGTTTTTTTGTAGACACCCTCTTTTGTTTTAAGTCTGCGTACGGGGACTTCAAGACTTTGCTTGGTTGCCTACTTTCCCTGGTTTTCACCTTTTCAACAAGTGTAGGACTCGAAACAAAATCAATTTTCCTCTTTACTCCTGAAGAAAAGTTCGATCGATCACTGGTTCAAAAAGAAAACTCCCTTTCAGCAGCAGTACCTGGTTCTGGGCAGGGTTTTCCTTTCTCTGATGCAGGAATTGCCTTGTCACTTCCATCATGTATACATTTGAATGGGATTCTCCCGGTTTGCTAGTACCCGCTGAATCGCACTGTTTTTCCTCACACTTTGCTGACCTATTATTTCCATCAGCTAGCTTTACAAGCATCTAATATTTTAAATGGAAATGGTGTAAGGAACTTTATACTGATAATTCACATTTTCCCATCGTCACTTTTACGTTTATGCGACGGCGCGCACGGGATATCACCTAGTATGGTATTATATGATACTCCTACTCCGATAAGTTAGGCATGGGTTGCGATAGGGGCCAAGTTGGGTCTAGACACCGGCACTTAGGTAGATAGATAAATACTAGTATGTACTAATCGATGCACGTAATAATGTTTCAAGGTATGTAAAAAAGGAATTACTTATACATATTACTTTCCATTTCCAGAAGTTAGAGGAGGACAGATAGGATAATTAAGTAAATAAAATTTATTTCGATTTATGGAGCTATATATAATTCATAATTAGTTCCATTACATACTAAATAAGGAGAATGATTAACACTGCCAATAATATAATATAATAGGTATACTTATTTTTGGTAAATAATACAAAAAGGAATGTTTCTAAGAAATCAAATAATTGTGTGAGGACACCGTCATTAATTAATGGATCACATCGGTGATGATCGGAGCAAAAAGTTGTGTTCGTTGGTGCCCGATGAAATTAAAGCCATACAGAAGAAGTAAAACAGTCGGAGGTGGACAGCAACTCCCGCCGGTTGTGTCCACTTTCGGATACGATGGTGGTGCCATCATATATATCATATAAAACCAGGTGCTCCGTCCATATCCCAGGGGTGTCTGGTTCTATCTACTAAAATATAGTCTATATCACATTAAATATTTGACATATATATGAAGTATTAAACGTAGATTAATTATAAAACTAACCATACAGATTGACACTTATTTACTAGACGAATCTAGCTTAATTAGACTCATATTTAGTCTTTCTAATTAGTACCCGATGCGACATCCACCTAACTTTAGCCCTTGCCGCCGCCGCCGCCTGCTACTACTCGTCTGCAGGTGGTATGGATAGGATCCAATTATCTCCAGAGACAAATTGGGTTCCAAGAAAGGGTGCGGCCTCGGCATACTTAAGCTGTACTGCACCCCCACTCACACCGCCGTAGTTCTTGAATGATGTATAGAAGAACGGCGTCAACTCCCTACATGCATGCAACAAACAATATATTAATTAATTAATTATATTATAAAGAGAGTGCATGTACCATAAATAAATATTGTATAAATAAATGAATAAATAAACATAATAATATGAGGCCAGCCGCAGGTACGGTAGTGGTATCTGTTGATCTGAAATTTAGCCCCTACGGGCCCATCGTCAGATCGAGCCAGAGATGATTAGAGGAATAAGGTCGTGTTGTATGTCGGTGTAGGAGTAGACGACAGGCCAGCCCACCCTTCCCAGGTAGACAAAACTGTCCCCCGCGATGGTGCATGTCTTGAAAGAGAAACCGCCGCCATCAGCCGGCAACGTCAACGGCGGCTTTGCCACCGGCAGGTCGAGGTATCCACCCAACGTGGAGACAATGTTGCAGTCCTCGTAAAAGGACCTTGCATTACCCAAGATGAAGTCGATGGTGCCGTTGATTGTGAACTGACTTAAAGTAGTGCACGGTCGCTTGTGGTCATATAGGGCGCCCTGCCCGCCCTCGATGGTGCATTTGTAGAAGGTCGCCTTGGATCCTCTACCACCCGCAGCGCTGGCGCCATGTTGCCGGTACTCAGCTCGCTGATCTTTCCCTTGAGGATTCCGCTTCTCCTCCTCCAGCCGCGGCGCGTCGTTCCTGAACACGACGCCGCTGGCAATGAAGAAGTCCGACTCGATAGTCACGCTGCTGCTTCCCTGTGCTCCCAGGGGCTTGCCGTCCTTGCCCAGGGTGGCGGCGGTGTCGTTCCAGGCGATGACGGCAGGGACCTTGGGGTGGCTGGAGGCGAAGGTGACGAACAACGGCTTGCTCCTGCTCAGGAACACCTTCTCGCGGACCACGGTGACGTAACGTTTGGTGTTGCCGTCGGGGATCTTGGCGATGGCCTCGCCGATATGACGGTGTTGACGAAGAGAGCAGGATCTGAGGTACTAGTGTCATGTCGTCGGCGGGTTCGACGCGGAGGACCACCCTGTTAGCCTCGGCTGCGGAGAGTGCAGCGTCCTTCTTGCCGCACGTGCACCCCGCTGCTGCATCTTTTGCCGCCTGCTTCTTTACCCACTCGCGCAACATGGTATCCTGCTGCGCGCATGATGATGAGAATGATAAGCGACACGTGGGCTTCAAGGTACTCCTCCCACATTGACAACCGCTGCAAGCTGTGGTAAGAATGAGAATGATAAGCACCTTTTCTTTGATTCTGACTTCGCTAGAGTAATCTGGTTAAGTCTACAACTTTCGTTGTCCCTTCTCCATTCTGACTCTTGTTCGAATGAGCTATTACAGAAGGCTCACACCAATTTGTGGTATATTTACAAAGCTAGAAATGACTTTAAGGTCTAATACCAAAAAGTGGACCATCATGAAGCGGTTGCCCTGAGATTTATGTTGATTATAAGTGGTAATCGTCTTATAACTTACTCTGTACACCACGTAGTTCACAATGTATTAAGAATGTGATAATCTGATTATCTGAACCAGGGCAAATAACACGGCCTGATAATAATCCTATTTTCAGTGTTTCTTCACCTGCAGCTCACCAGGGTATCACACCAGAAAAAATAGCTTTTCTTCCACAGGACAGAACATAACATACTGCAGTTAAATTTTGGTTACAATAATAAGGGCAGAGCCCCAAGTTCACAGTGCACTACTTTGCCTGATTAGGACATGGTCCCGGCAAGGCTACCATCACCAGTTCAAAAGTTTATTACTATATGTTTCGACAGGTCAGAATGGTAAATGTGTAAAAAACAAACAAACAGTGTCGAACGACTGCTATCCCCTCATCACTGAGGGGATGATCCACGTATAAAATCAAAATAAATAAACAGCCCTAGGGTCAGGCCAGACAAGAGGCACCATCACCTTCAACTTACCTGCTGTAGATACACGACCCTACTTTGTAGCTCAACAAGAGAATCATGGCCGACATAAAGAAAAGGTAAAAGCCACTTCGCAGCACCATGGGGACGGTGCTAATCCGAGTAGCATCCTCGAGACCAACAGGAAGCTTGGATGACACGTCGCTCTCCACGGCGAAAGACACAAGCAAACTCAAGTCTCCATTCTTCTGCAAGGGCCACCGATCGGAGCCACTGCTGAAAGTGAGGCCATCAAGTTGGATGATGCCAGCAGTAACACGAATTGAGCTCGAGCTGATAGCCGAGAGCACCCCAACAGATTTCCCTGTTGATGGCGGGAATTCTGAGGCCATTGCAGGTGGAGCTGGGATAGAGCCCAACATGCTGGCAAGGCGCTTTCCATAAGTTTTATCAGCAGTGTCATCTGTTGGCACACCTGGAGAAAAGGCAGTTACAAACTTACAGTTGAATTGTAGGTATGAATTTATTTCCAGACAAACTCAAGTATAGGCACCACAACATTAAAAATGAAGCTCTACAATACAAGTATACAACGCTAAGTATTAGTAAATAAAGAAATAAAAGGAATATAACTAATGTACCTGGAAATTCAGTATCTGTATGGGAACCAGATGAGGATGCACCGTACTGAGCATTTGCTTCCGGAACCTCAGAGATCCCATCGAATGTAAACTTGTCTTTGTTATCACTCTGTAAATAAGTAAACAATGTGGGTGTATCACCAGAAAGACAGGAAAGAAGACACGCTTAGTGATCCAAATTAGCTCCTTAGCATACAGAAGTAGCGATCACCAATTATTTCTTTAGCCTAATAGTCAGAGAACTAGGAAAGAAATATATATATATATATATATAACAGTTCCAAGGCACACCTTTTGGGCAAAGTTCAGCGGCATGTCTGCAAGTTGATAATTCGAACCCTGAGCAGAGCCCAAAATGTCATAATTGAAATCATTCTCTGTGGCATCAAAGTAAGCCATCACATTATCTCCATCAAAGAGTGATTCATTTCCAAGTGGCTCGTTGAGGAGGTCATTCAGATATACGAAGCCATCATTTCCATCCACCAAGTTGTAATCAGATGGAGCATCATAAAATACCATACTGTCATCCACTTGGCGAGGTGCTGGAAAGCCATCAGCTTGCTGGTGCCCAGAATATGCAATCCCATTGGTATCATTCCCTGTGTCAAAGAACTCATCGGCAAGAGGGCCATTGACATAGTTCTGATTACTATATGCTCTCAAAGGCCAGCTTGTGTGATCACCATCTGCTGGACCACTCCCATTCATAGTGTTATCCTGGCCTACATAGCCATTATCTTTCCTGGGGTATGCTGATAACAAGTCATCAACATTGATGCTATCATCAGTGGCATTCTGCCCTTCAAGTCTATCTATATTCTCCACGCTAATATTCGACAAAGGTTCCTGCAAAATCTCTTCCAGAGAAATAGCACCATCAGCACAGCTTCCATCACTCGTCTCTTTAGAATCCTGACCTTGTAGAGGAGCCATCTCTGGTGGATTGAGCATTTCATGGACCTGAATTCAAGGGAAATGATAACAGAAGTAAATATCAACACGTTAACTCGAGCTGCAAGGCGACACTCAAATTCGATTGCATGCCAGGAAATACGATGTCATTTGTCCATCGGGAGAGTATAATATGAGCAAATAAACATTTACCAAAGGCAGATGAGATGGTTCTACTCGAGCAGGTCTGTTTGTTTCACAATATGCATTCTCATCGTCCTCATTTGACTCCTCATCTACAGCACATGTGATTGTAGCCATTTGAGCAGATGCGCCACTGGTAGGACCATTCTCAATAGCATCATCATCCTCTTCCCACTCCTCTTCCATGTATGGTGCACCATACTGCGCACCGTTCTGTGGTCCAGATCCATGCTTCTGGAAGATTCTACAGACCACATGCAGATCCTACAGGCTCAGCAGAAAATAAACATCAGGATTTAAGCAGAACATGGGGCAAGCCACAAAACCACGTTCTCCTAAGCAGCATACATAATATGAAAAGGAACACATAGCCAAAGAGAAGCATTATTCTTAGCGCATTCCTTTTTTTCCTTCTTGACTTTTAGATCAATCACACACAATTTCTGGAACTGAACTCTGGTATGGGAACTTGCAGCAACAAATAACTACTTCCTCGATCCCTTAGGGCACCTCCAATAGTGGCTTATGAGCTAGCTCTAAGCATTTTATTTCATATTTTAATAGAAGAGAGAGAAAAGATATCTCTTGATCAAGAGCTAGTCTCATGCACACATTCCAAGATCATGTGAGGTTGTCATGTGGGCCTATCCATATTATGAGCTATTGCTAAAAGTTAACACCATTGGAGAAGCTGTCTTAGAGACAGTAACTAGCTCATACTGTTGAGGATGCCCTTATACAAGTCCATTAGGACATTGATGGCATGGCCCGGTCTACAAAGTTACACTTTGACTAGCAACATTTATAAAAACACACTACTTAAAATAGAAAGAAGGCCTAGAAAGAATTATAGTAATAATGAAAGTTATTTCCATGAGCAATCTATTAACATGAATCATATGAAGTCAATCTATAGGCTTTTATAGAAATAGATGGTAATAAATGTTAAGAAATTTGAGTTAGGACAAACTCAGATGAACTTATATTTGGGTTCAAAGGTAGTCCATTACACCATCCTAACGTTGTTTGATAGAACCATCCAATTCCAATGACACAAAAACAAGGGCTATGTATACTGTATTGTCGTATCATAATCATGCAGCATGATGAGAATACACAATGTGCTGTTGCATATTTCAGGTTACAGAATTTTTTTACAAAAGATAGAATCAATTATCTATCTATACTAGTAACCCCTTTTGGGTTGCATGCTGCCATACAACAAATGACAATGTGAAGCTGCAAACTCGCTTTCCATGAATGACTAGATGTATTGTCAGAGGGTCCTTATTCACGAAAGGATAGTCTCACAACAACAGGGTTGCCAACGATATCATCTTGATGTAGAAGTAAATTAGCACCCACACAGGAGCAAGAGAGTGATTGCACCTTTTCAGGTTGCAGGGATTTATTTACAAAAAATAGAAACATGTACCAAGCCAAGCCATTTTTTGTTTTTGCATGGCATCCTACCATAAATTGTGAGAATACAAAACCATAAGGAGAGCTGCTGCCCTTAAGCGGCTGACGATCGAAATATTTGTATTGCAGATGGCCCTTAAATCGACAAAATAAAAATACTGTGCCGATTGGTCCGCGTGCAGAAGGGCGGGCCTGGTGCAAGCGGTAGAGTCTTACCGCCTGTGACCGGAAGGTCCCGGGTTCGAGTCGCGATCTCCTCGCATTGCACATGCGAGGGTAAGGCTTGCCACTGGCACCCTTCCCCAGACCCCGCACAGAGCGGGAGCTCTCTGCACTGGGTACACCCTACGTCCGATTGGTCCGCGTGCAAAATAGATTGGGCAGTCAGCCAAGGGCGTGAATTGGGGCAGAAAGAGCAGATCATAATCCTCCAGAGCTGGGAGGTGGTGTGTTTGGGGATCGGGTCGTGAGTAGTACATACATACACTCTAATTTAGAAACACGCTCTAATTGATTAGATGAACACTCTAACTGATATTGATTGAGGATGGACGGACTGGTTGATTGATTTGTGAATGAAGCAAGGAGAAAACAACCTGAGGCCCGTCTGCGTCGAGGAGGCGGTACTCGTGCATGACCCAGTTGGTCCTGTCGCCCTTAGGCGCCCTCCCGGCGTGGAAGACGAGCGTCTTCTTCATCCCGACGGGCTTGCCGCGGTGGTGCACCTCGCGGTCCTTGCCCGTGGTCTTCCAGTACCCCCTCGACGTGGCGCGGTTGGTCCTGTTGCCGGGGCCGCCCCGGCCCCCGGCGCCGGCGCCGGAGACCTTGCGGTCGAGGCGGGCGAAGAAGTACCACTGGGCGTCGCGGCTGCGGATGCGGGAGAGGGAGGGCAGGTCCCAGGGCTCGAGGCGGTAGAGATCGACCTCGGCGATGGCGTCGACGCGGAGGCGGCGGCCGAGGACGCGGCGGCGGAGGTAGTAGGAGACGAGCTCCTCGTCGGTGGGGTGGAAGCGGAAGCCCGGGGCGAGGGGCACCTCCGCCGCCGCCGGCGGGGAGGAGTCGAGCGGTGATAGGCTCATCGTAGTCTCTATCTATCTACAGATTGAGACTACGAGGGTTGGTGGCGAGCGAGCGAGGGATCGATCGATCGATCTGGTACGGTAGGGTTGGGCCGGGCTAGGATCTCGGGGAATTTCGCATAATTCCTCGTGGGGGAGGAGCGGATTTGGGTTCGATCGGGGGTGGGGGTTGCTAGGGTTTGGGAGTGGGGACTGGGGAGGCGGCGAACACGATGAGGAGGGGAGCCGTGGAAGTGGAGGAGCCTGCCTTTCGGAATTGGAAGTCTTTGGCATGCTCTTTGACGTCGGCGTGAGCAACGCGCAACTGGGAAGGAGGAGGGAAGGAGCCGCGTGCGTGCGTGCGTGGACTGCTCCACGAGGGCTCGCCTGCTTTTGCTTTGCCCTCCATCCTCTAGAAGACTACTCCAGGCGCACTCGAAAGTTCGGTACACCGAAAAATGTCGTATTTCTTGGTAGATAGACAAGGTGAATGTGATTAGTATCATAATTATAAGACGGTTTGGTTTTACTAGACACAAAGCTATTGCACTTAAATATGGTCACGTTCGTTTCGCTAAAATTTGGCTTATGCTGATTTAGTTGTGAGAGAAAAACATTGTTCGTTCGCTGAAAAGTACTGCCCGTTCGCTAAATTGTCTTATAATTTAAAGCGGAGGAAGTATATTATCATATGAGTTGTATGATATATGTCTCCACACGGAAGGCGAAGCTTAGTTGAGATCAAGGTGAGACATGGCCTCCCTTACATCCAACTAATTCTTAGCTAAATAAATAGTAATTTTAGCACTATTCATGGTGATTATAGCTAAGTTTATCTAGACCGCCTCCTTCTATTTGTCAAGCTTCCCCACTGTCTCCGCGAACTACACTAATCATATAATATAGTTCCTCTATAAATTAAGTTTTCATGCTTCCATGCAGCTCGAGGCACAGCGGCCCGACACGAAACCCGTAATTTTGGCCTGGCCCAAGCACGGCATGACCCGGCCCGATGCTCAGCGGGCCTGGGCTAGCCCGGCCCGAGGGAGCAAGCCGTACTATCAAGAGGGGGCAGACTTGTTTAACCTAAGGCATTTTATTTCACCGGTCATAGGTATGTAGAGAAGTTGATGACCGGGTTTATGATAGATGGCCGTACTATCAAGAGGGGGAGACTTGTTTGTTTATCGGTCATCTAGTGCCACTTGAGTGATCTAACTTTGCATTGTCGCTAGGATCGAGTGGCGTGGCAAGTTGAGTGGCTAATCCTTTGAAAAATGATTGTGAAAATGTTAACACACATACACATGGTGGATGTACACTTGGTGGTGTTGGCACATTTACAAAAGAGATGAAGTTAGAGTTGATGTGGATCATCTCGGCGATGAAACGGAGGCGAGAAGGGTTCGAAACTTCACCGGCGGAGTGTCCACCCGTAGAGTGCGGACAATCCAATGATGCCACCGGCGCCTGTCTGAAAAGACAGTGTTTCACAGAGTGCACCGGACGCTGGTCATGCAATGACCGGACGTTGGGGGAATCCGTGTTGTCAAGAGCAGAAGAAGTGAAGGCGCAGGCGTCGATCTTTGACCGAGGTATTTGGGTGGTGGTCCTGTGTCGGTCTCACTGATGTGGCAAAGACTGATGAAGAGGAGAAATGACCAGACGCTGATGCTGCGTCCGATCATGACCAACCGGACGCGTCCGGTCATGAATTTTCGCGAGTGAAACCTTACTGGAAATGACCGAACGTTGGGGTCCTACGTCCGATCACTTTGAGCAGCTGTGTCCGGTCATCACTTGACCGTTGAGATCAAGCGATTGAGGTTGAACGGAGGCGACACGTGGCGAGCCGGTCACTTGACCGTTGAGATCAAGCGACTGAGGTTGAACGAAGACGACATGTGGCAAGCATCTGTTGATCGGACGCTGAGGTCCTGCGTCCGGTCAGATATGACCGGCGCGTCCGGTCAACCCGAAAAACGCCCAGTGAAGGGGTAACGGCTATTTTAGCCCGTTGGACTATAAATAGAAGGGGTCTCGGCCATGGCCGGTGCTGAGCACCTCGGGGGACTTTGTGTCCATGCTTGAGAGTGCTTGGGAGCGCTCCATCTCACATATGCTTGATAGTGATCATCCGATTGTGTGAGAGCGATTCTAGTATGATTATATCGTGAGGTTGCATCGAGTGGCACTAGGTGATCGAGTTGCAAGCCGGTGGTGCTTGTTATTCTTGGAGGTTGCCACCTCCTAGACGGCTTGGTGGTGGTCTCCGTCGAAGCCCGCAAGAAGCTTGTGCGGTGCTCCGGAGAAGAGCTTTGTAAGGGGCATTGTGCTCGCCCCGCGGAAGCCACAAAGAGCAACTCTAGTTGAACGTATCATTGAGCTATCCTTACTTTCAGGATAGGTTCTTGCGGTGCCCGACGTGGGGGCTTGGCAGGTGATGTCAATTAGCCGCCGAACCACCAAGTGGCGGTCGACACAACGGGGACGTAGCGTGTGGCAAGCGCGTGAACCTCGAGAGAAAATCATCGTGTCAACATTGTTCTTCCCGTTGATTTGCAATCCCTTTACACAAGCTTGTTATTACTTTCATATACATTGTGCTTATGTAGTTGCTCTTATAATTAGTTAGCTTTTGTAGCTCACTAGTTACCTTCTTGCTTGTGTAGCATAGAAGTAGCTCCCTTGCATGACTAATTTGGTTTGTGTAATCTTGTTAGTCATATAGCTTAGTTTGTGTAGCTAAATATTTGGGCTCTCTAATTTGACATTGGTTGCCTTATTATTGAGCATTGCTAATGAGCTTAGTTGTCTTTGTGCTTTTGCTTACTAGCATGTGTAGGAGCTCCCCATTGGTTAACGTACTAGTGGCATTGGTTTGTGTGACTTTACTTCTAGAATTGATTAGGTGAGCTCTAGCTTGCCCGACACCTTTGTTGCTTAATTAGGATCTTTGCAAGGTACTAGAGAACATAGATAGAGGGGTGTAGTCTTGGCTAGACTGATAGTTTTAATTCTGCACTTGTTTTGGTTAGCCGACGCGATTAAGTTTTAGAAACGACTATTCACCCCTCCTCTAGTTGCCATCTCGACCTTACACCTATCCAATCCATATCTATAATGGCTAGAGATATTATGTCCGTTTCTGTTTCTACTGTCTCTTCGGAATTATATTTCAGCTTGACAGGAAGGATAATTGAAGAGCGATGATGACGACGACTGTTGCCTAAAACTGTTGAGATGCTGGCCTACATAAAGGATTGGGAGTTGGGAGAAAAAAGATTACAGCATGTTGTTGACAACCAAGAGATGGATGACTCCTTCAAGAATATGTACTTTGATGAAGATGCAGATAGGGCTGCTCGTACTGCTAGTTCATCTAGGGCTGGGGCTGGGGATGATTCATCTAGGGTTGGTATATCTAGGATTGTTGGTAATTAGTGTTGAGAGAGGAGAGTGCTCTGTTAATCTTTTATCTCCATTTTGTATCTGTCATCTGTGACTGTGACATGAGATCTTTGAACAATGATGGAAGCCTTAATTAAAAGCCGTGCTGCATTCTTTTTCTCTTTTTAGGGTTTCTCACAAAGGTAAGTTTTACCTAAAAAGGTTTTTAATGAGGCAGCATTGCGCAAACAACTCATTTATCTTTTAAATTCTCCTATGTGGCTCTGTTTCTTATTTTGTTGGATTTGACATTGCCTGAGTTTTTGACTTAGAAGTTAGAACAGTTTGAGTGTTTGACAGGTTGTGCCTTTGTTTGAGTTGTGACTTGTGAAATTTGATAAGTGTTTGATGAGTGAATCTTTTTGAGGGGTTTTGAGGTCACCGGACTGGGGGCTAGCACGGCATGCAATTTTGGCCATGCTCAACGGGCCGGCACGTCATGAATTGCGGCCCGTAGTGTCGTGCTTGGGCCGAAGGCCAGACACGAGGCCCAAAGAGGCACGACCCGGGAGACACGGCGTGCCGTGCCGACCCGACACTCTGCGGGCCATGCCTGGCCCGTGCCCATGCTGTGCCGAGCCGGGCCGGCCTGTTGGCCAACTATATCCGTCACCAAAAACATACAATTATAGTGTAGTATAGTACAGAGTCAATGCATAGACCAAGTTTAATTATAAATAAATATCATTTGATTCTCTATTTAAGTATATTTTATCAATAATATATCTATTTAATATCATAAATGTTGTTGTTTTTTATAAACCTTTTAATCAAACTTTTGATAGTTTGGCTAACAAGAAAACTAGATTGTAGTAGTTATAGGGAAAACTAAAGTCCTCTTGATTGCTTCCTGAAAATTCTCACCCCCGTAGGTTGCTTTTTGAAAATTCTCGTAATATATTGGTTAAATTTTCAGCTCTTTTTTTTCAAACAAATGGCAACAACTCATCCTTTCGCTCAAGAAGAGGGTAGCAGGCCAAAACTTAGGCTCTGTTCGACTTACCCCATATTTGATTTGTTCGGCTTGTTTTTTCAGCTGGAACAGTGTTTTTCTCTCACAACAATTCAGCCGAACAGTGTTTTTCAACCAGTTTCAGCCAAGATTCAGCAAGCCGAACGGGGGACGTAACCCTCCGTCCTAAATTATAAGTCATTCCAAGAATTTTGGAGAGTCAAAGCATCTCAAGTTTGACCAAATTTATATAATAAGATAATAACAATTATGATACCGACAAAGTATCGGTAGATTCTTTATTAATTATATTTTTATAGTATAATTATTTGATGTTATAATTTCTTGTGTTTCTCTTTATAGCTTTGATCAAACTTAAAATGTTTATAACAGAGAGAGTATGACATTTGTAGTTGTTTTAACACTAGATCCCAGCTTCCTTGCCCGGCTCTGACAGCATTTTAGTCCTCTCATAAGCAAACATTAGTCACATATACCAGCATGGCAACAGGGCACCAACGTCTTGTTCAGCACAATTCGACAAGTCCGGTCTTGTTCCACGTACCATATGCTCCCTCTGTTCTAAAGACCGGTCTTTTTGTTTTTCTACATACAAATA